ATATTTATAAATAAATTATAATACAGGGGTGTTAATAAAACTACAAAATATCAAAAAATATTTTAAAACTAATCTTAACACATCGTCCTTTTAATTATAGTTTAGTTTATTTTTAACTTTCACTGGATACTGGATTTATAATAATTTCTTTTCCAGTAACAATATAAGTACATTTCACATTTAGCTTCGCTTTATGATTTTATATAGGTACTTATTTAATTTATATTGAAGCCTCTTGGTTTACAATAATGTGTTCCTTATTTAATTCTTTTAATTCGTCACCACATGGAGATAATACGTCCGTGTTGTCACTTTCGTTGTCATCAATTTCGCGCCACTTTTTGTAACAAAATAATCCCCTTTCGGCGATACCTTTGATTGCACGTTTCCTGAATACAACTAGCACCAGAAATATCAGAATCCCTTGCAACATGTTGACGTAATCAGATATGATCCTGTAACATTCGAATTATTTGCTATTCGTTACATGTCAAATGGTTATATTTGTTGCTTACCAAATGTACTTTATGAACCCTTGGGAATTATTGAAAGTGTATGATAGTACTTCGAAGATCCATGTTAGTCCCATAATGACAGACAATTTCGCGTAGAGGATACACCTGAAAAGTGTTTGTGATGTTTTAGTCCTAACGATAAGTAATATCATATTGGTCTATTTTAGCTATTTTTTAACCACCCCCCTTTCGCTACATGGTCTAACGTGATTTATTCTTGGACCCCTCCCGCTTACAACAAACAGTCGACAACATTTTTGAAACGAAATTTTCATAGTCAATTCTTCTGTTTCTTAGACCGGACTTTTTTTAGGAACAACTAGTCATTATGCTATTAACATTTTGATCAGTAACTATAAATATTCTGGATTCTTTAATGACTCCGCTATATCTCTTCGGAAAATGGCTCTCTGCCAAATTATATGAAATTTTTTTGGATTCTGGTGGTTTTCGATGTATAGATCAAAAGTCTCAATGGGCACTAAGCTGTAAAAACTCGACTTTTTGAGACACAGTCCCTTAAAGTCGAATCCGAAGTTTCGAAGACTGCCAGTTTCCGTAAGGATCTAGCGGGGTCCTTTGTAAAGTTAATGCTGCAGCACTGACTTTAGTAGTCATTGGAATTCTTACTTAACACGGACGATTTAAAGCAGATTTGTAATATTTTTTATGTTTGCCTCTGTAAGTCAGAAGGGAATCCGTCTGATTTTTTTGATCCACTAAATAAACACTTTTATTTCTTGTTAATAATAAGAAACCACATTGCCGTATGGTTCAGAATATCCTTTTACTACTTACTGTTTACGTACAGCCCCTAATGTAAGATGTAACGAAAAAACAAAATCTTTTTTTTCTTTTTCTAATTAGTGGATTAATATCCTTAGTAAGGCTTAGATATTTCTAATGTTCCATAGCATACACGAAGTTATATCTTACCAAAGGAACAAGTCCCGACTTGACAAACTTTGCTTTTACGTGAGCGAAATACGTACGCAGTATTCACTTTATAGTTTTATATCTTGCTTTTATCGGTTTGATAATAATTTATCGAAACTGCATATGGGGCGTGCTGAAGAGAACTAATAAGTTTTAAATCGCGATCCACATTCGATAGTTTTTGTAAACTGTTCACTAAGAACTTATTGTTCTTTATTGTTCATGTTTAATCGGCTCCAGATTAACGACAATTTAAACAATTATCACGATAGAATAAGAAAAAAGGTTCCCTTTTTTAACATAAAATCTAACGTATGTGTAGGTATCTATTTGGAAATACAAAATTACCTATTACGTACTTTGTTTTGAGAACCTTCAGCTTGTGACTTTGCCTGAAATTACTTCCAACTGTTTTCCAAAGTATTGTACCAGTCCAGCAGAACATTATGATATTTGTGACCAGTACAAAAGTTATTGGCATGTAAAAATAGATCCAGCTTGCCTTTTCACCTATTAAAAAGTATCATTATAATATTGTAAGTACTTCAATAAATTAGGGTAACTTTCAGAAGCTCTTGTAAAAAAAAACTAGTAGAACGTGCACTCGTTAAAAATTATTTGTAACTATTATTAGGCATCAACATCATTATCATTATAAGGTTTTCAGCGTTAAACAAATTATTTTGTTTTCAATTAAAATGCATGTTATATGTATAGTAGTGTTGTTGAGGTTTAATTGGAATTTTTGATTAAAAAACACCAATCTTTCGATGTTGTCGGAGGAAATGTTTACCTTATTGGTACATGTAAAGTGCTTTTATATACCAGGGATAAGATAAGACCAGTAGGTGTTGTGCAACAAAAGCTACCTATGCACTATTGGCAGCGGTAGACATCCGTCCAAATTTGGACGGGTTCAACTAGTCTAAACTTTATGTGATTTTTATCGAAAGCTCACCTGACAACCAGCATGAGTTGGTTCCTATGCCAGGTTTAAGATGTTCTCCAGGCACAGTATGGGAAATTATTGCTCCTGTAAGGAATGTTAGGGGAATACCATAACCATAAGCTATAGAAATCCAGTACAGATACTTAGGACTTGAAGGTGTGGTAGGGCGTCTGAAAATTATTCAGAAAATTAATTTCTTTCTGATAGTTGTACGGCAACGTTTTGAATTAAAGCAAACTTACACTGTATTTCTCCATACATGAAAACAGGTCACATTTAGCCACGCGAATGCCGATAGGAAAAAGAAATATATGTTAAAACCTAGTATTTCGCACGCTGGAAAGTCAAAACGTCCGAGTTGCACAGTTGCAAGAACTGCAAAAGCCATAGTTAAATTTGCTACGGCATGCATTGTACATTTTCCCTACAATTGTACAATTATTTGATTATTTTCTAATTGTTATTGCAATATCTATTAATGTGAAAATTAATTTAATTTTTATTCACTATGAATTACCTTAAAATAAATTAGGAAAAATAGTTGATACTGTCACACCCTCGCCGGGAATCGAACCCGGGACCTTTAACTACACACCAATGCTTTGACCACCAAGCTACGAGACGTGACAGCAGCGATCAGGATGAAACGTATTTATCAGGTTACAGATTGTGTGATAAAATCCCGGATTCAATTCTCGGTGAGGGCGTGACAATTTTTCCTCATTCTTTTGAGATAATTTGTAGCTAATTTGTAATTAAATTGATTAATATTATCTAAACATTAACCACTGTTAAAAATTTCTTAAAGTTTTTCATGTTATTGCAATAATGACAGGTAGGCTGTGCGAATAGTGCTCGAGTCGAATAGTACTACACGAATTATCTAAAAGTATTGAATTATTTGAAAAGCTATCGTATACTTCGAAAATATCGAATAAAATTAATTTTTCTGGACAATAATGTTAATATTGGTTTTCTATTGAGCCCCCCTCCCCCCTTCCAATAGAACAGGAAATACTTAATGTGCCTACGGGACTTTATTTCATTAAAATATTCATTACATTAGCAGAGTATACCTTTTCTCTATGGATAAAATGGAAAATAGGGTAGTCGCACTTGGCTCATTGTAGATCATAAATACTATTTTATTAACTTTAATTTTGAAATGTTTCATAAAGGCATCGAAATGTAAATAATTAAAGACAAAACACTAGCAAATTCAGATTAGTCCCACTTTGCATACAATTAATCTCATCAAAAGTTGCAATTTAGTCCAACTTGCACCGCAATCGTAAATTCTCCAAAATATTACTATCATAGATTATTGTTAAATTTTGAACAATACCACTAATTTCTTCTGTAAATATAATTGCTTTGTAACAATGGTTGAGTTCTTCGTTTTTGACAGTGTTGGTCCATCGTGCCTGATCTTTTCTTTTGGCAACGTTTTCAGAATCTCATTCTCATCTTTCATTTAAAATATCCAAATCCTCACTATTTTCACTATTTGAATACGCTGACTTTGAAGAAAAAGGGTTTTTATTTTTATTATTCCTATACTTGCCGTCTACTGTCACACCCCTTGGTGCTTANAATTACAAAGGGATTTCGACAATTGTATCAGTTATTAGCTGCCATAGCGGACAAATCTATGAAAAACTATGAAATAGGAGGAAAAATCATATTTAAATGGAGATTTTTGTTTTATCGCAACATTTTTTTTATGAATATTTTTTTAAAAACAGTATAAAGTTCTTCGAAAATAAGTCATCAAAATTACCAGACTTGCATCGCTATTCGATGTTATTAGATTACATCAACACGCTACGTCATAGACAGTCTCGAAAAGTCACTAACAAAATTGAAGGAGCCCTTTTAAAGCATATTGATATAATATCTACTTATGACAATATATCACCATCTACTGGTATTTAAAATAAAGATACTTAAAAATGCAGGGAGGAGTTGCAGAGATAGAAGAGTGATACATGCATTTTTGAATATTATCGACTTACTTAATAATACAATAACTGTATATTACAAAATTAAAAGAATTTATGAATTTTATTCCAAAAAAAATGAGAATATTACTATTCCATCCGCATGGAATAATTTGAAATTTTGCAATATTCGCACACTCCTAATAACGACAAGGTGAATTAGCCTGTAGATACATTAACGTAAAAAATATGAATTATATGTTTATACCTGTAGGTCTCTTAAAATTGGCACAAGAAAGTATACAATAAGGACTAATATCATGAATATAATAGATAAAATTGCACAGCCACCCCTCAATTCCCAGAAGGGCTCATTGCTTTCGTCGAAACATATTAATGCAACATTTTCATCCGTATCGTTTAGATTATCTAGGCAGTAACTACAATACAAAAAATAATTAGATTTTTTTTTACGCATCAGTTATTTGTTTATTATTATCGAAAATAATTGCAAACCTTCCGTGTTCTATTGTAAATTCTGAGTGGTTGGGGTTTTCTTCGATAACTAAATTTTCGTGAGAATCTAATGAGAATGTAGTAACTCCTCTTTTCTTTTTGTAGAGATACTTATTGCAGTCTAGAAACGGCTTCGAACCGTCGCTGCATCGCCTAGTTCTCATAACTAAGTGGGCATCATCTTTACAACATTTATTGCTTAAATCTGCCGATACGCCCAGTATCATAATACTTAACAATATAAGTAATTTCTTGATATGTGCCATTTTTTTGTTACTGGTTTTCACGTTAGCTAACATTCTTTCTGAAAATGAAAGAAATATTTTTTCTAATTTGGTTTATTAAATAAAAATACTTGCGTAGGTTTCAAAATAATCGATAGAGAAACTTGCACAAATATTTTTATTTCTCCTTTTTGTTAATGAATCTCAAAATAAATTGTAATTTCCACAGAAGTCACTTCTATATTCGCGAACGGTTAATTTGGAAATTCGAAAAAGGTTGTTAAAGGTGTATGTTTGGAGCGCGGCGTTGTATGGGTGCGAAACATAGACAATAGGCGCGGTGGAAAAGAAAAGGTTAGAAGCGGTCGAAATGTGGTGTTATAAGCGGATAATGAGGATAACGTGGATAAGAAAGGTTAGAAATGAAGAGGTATTAGAAAGAATAGGAGAACAGAGGACTCTATAAAAAATAGGCGAGATAGGTTGGTAGGACACCTTCTCAGGCATGAAGGTCTAGTCAGAGACATATTAGAGGCAGAAGCAGGAGTTAGGAGGGGTAG